GAAGTTAACCAAATGATCAAAATATGGTGGCGAAATTCACCATATAGAAAAACTGATACAGGATCCTTTCCAAGCAGTCACTTGCTCGCGCCCGCGCTTTTACCTGCACTGGACTTGTTTGGGAAATTTAGCATCATTTTCTGAGTTTAAAAAATTCCCACCTGCCAGAAATAAAACTGGCATCCATCTTGTCGTGCAAACCTTCCAACCGACATTCGAGGCCAACTTCTTCTAAACTGCTCCTTATGATTCCTCTGGAGTGGGCCACAGAAGACGGAACATTCGGTCGAAATTGAAGCCTGCTTACGTCGGTTGGTGGAATCAAAATTTGAAACTTACTAAAATATTTAGAAAATAAATCCGGTCGGAATATTGTCATTTGAAAATAGTTTCAAACTTGTTGCTTTTGAGCAGTTACTATTTTCCTCGGATTTTAGAGAAGTACCCAAGAGGCTAAGATTTCTTCGATACACAAAAACGTGTGCTATTCCAAAAATATATACCATAGAAAAAAGACAACGCCAGTATTATGCTCTCACTATATTGTCACGATTGACAGACGATGAGGCAGGCGAAAACGGAAAGAACTAAATATTTAATGGGGGGAGGCAAACTTGTGTCAGAAACAAAAAAGAACAACACACGTCAAGAAAGCAGCAGCGAGCGTCGGCGGCGGTAGCAGCAGGCGACGCTACGTCGGCGTAAGAGCTGGCTATCGCGAGGGAGAATCAGCGAATGAATCGGCAATAAGGCCGCTCGGCTCTTTATTTACTATGATCGCCATCTCGAATATTCGGCCTAGAATGTTCGAGAAAGAGCTAGGGCGAGACTGGGCGAGACTGACTAGACAAGGTAATTCTGGCTTCCTTTTCGTTTACGCTCGGGGTGAGAGTGTACGCGAATCTTTTGGATGAAGGGAGGAGCGTATCTTCTCGATCGTGCACGCGGCATTATTTAATAGTATACATGGATATCTTCTTAACCTGTCGTCTAAAAAGTGTAGAAAAAAAAAGATAAACGAGTGGAGCTTTTTCCAACACATCTAACCAGAGGATCGTTTAGTTGAACGATGAAACTTTGTGTGCACATACTGTTTTCTTATTTATTGTCGTTTTTTATTGCACTTTATTGCACACGAGCTAAGTCCGTACTTTTGCTTTTAATGGTATTTTCTTTTTATTGTGAAGTGCCAAAACTGTTTAACGGCACCTTTAATTTGTTTGTTTTTTTATTAAATGTCTACAAGTTGGGGCGAGTAAATTCACTGCCCTGCCCAAAATACAAGCGTTCTACGCTTAAGCGGCTGGAGGTGTTTTTGATTGTTTTCTTCTGTAAACAAACTTTCTACTTATCCTTATCCACGTTTCCTCAAAGCACTTGGGAGGGAGGGCGCTGACATCGGTGATCTCGAAAGAAAGGACGAGAAAGAAGGCGACAGAAGAGCATAAGGAAGACAGCAGACGAAATGTTAGACGTGTTCCTTTTAAAACGACAAATGCTTGCCAACTTTTTTTTTTTAATGCAAAGAGCAATTTTGGTGTTTTCTTTTTTTTATTTTTTATTTTATTTTGCGAAGTGATTTATAAGAGAACAAGATGCAGACCTTGAGTCGATGTTTTGCTGCTTCTTTGCGCACATTAAGGCAACGCCAGCGATATGGATCCATCGAGACCACCAACTAGGGTCACCGATGTCCGCGTCTATGCCCTGCCGTTCCGAAGCGGCCCTGATGCACGGGAACATTCCGTCTAGGTTAATATATATATCTATTAACTCCATGTTTGGGAGAGGCAGTCGCTGCACTCTACGGAGGCAGCTCGCTGAATGACAAACAGAAAATATGTTTACACCTAGAAAACAAAATTAAAAAAAACAGCCTACGCTGGGACATCAAGCGCGGTGAAACGCCGTGCTTACTGTCACAGCGCAAATTGTTATTTTTTACGTCTAACCGCATTTTCAGCTACGCCGTTCGGCGAGCTCACTCTGCCCATTGTAGCGATTGCCTCTTCCAAATTCCTTGAGGGTAAGTGGACTAAGTGGATTTTTTTATTATTTTTGTATAGAGTGCAGGGTGGTTTTCATTATTTTGTCGTTGTTGTCATTTTACGGACAAAACCGCAGGCGTTTACGATTTGCGGAAGGAGGCGAAGGTGACTAGTGAATGGCAGCAAATCCGATCAGGTTTTGCTTCAAGAATGCGATCTTCTTTCGAATTTCGAGCACGCGTGAACACCATGCTGATGGATGCGGTGCGGGTTCGGTCGAGATCGTATCCGAGCCGACTGATATGCTGCTTTCCTTGCGTCGTAACTGTAGACCCTCATCTCGCAGCGCGGCGAAGTAGAGGCGCTGATTTTATTCAGAAAAAAGAATGCTTTAGTTTTCGCGGTCAAGCGGCACTGTTTGAAATTGTGGAGTGTTTTTTCTTTTTCTCCCTTAACTTAACATGTTACTATTATACCCTTGAGAGGGATCGTTCACTTTACTGTGAAATTACAATAGAACACAAACAGTTTTAGATGCGTACTTGCGTTCTCCTCTCCGAAGAATAACTATGTGCAACGAACAACCCTCGTACACTACTAGCCTTAACTTGTTTTTGAAGAGCCAAAAAAATGGTGGATATTCCATGTTTCTGATAGTAATTTAGTGCTCGTTTCCTTTCGCTCCCTGGATCTTTCAGTTTTGTAAGTCATATGAATGAAGACTCGTGCAAATATTTATGCGTTCAATAAACAACTGCGAGTAATCAACGCATGTGTACGATGCCTTGATTTTTAACAGTATTCGTGACAGCAAACTCGAGTCGAAACAGGTGTCTCGGGGAATACATTATCGCATTTTAATATGTACCGAGGCAATTTTGTAGAACGTTTTTTTTCTTTATCGTCATGATTATCTAGACCATCCGATATATATAAATGTACAAAAAAAAATTCCCTGGTCTAAGACTTAATACAGATGTGTATTATATCTCCCTTTTTTTTTCTCTCTCTCTCTCCTCTCGATGCGATTTCTGCTTGATTCATAACTTCAAAGGTTCGCATTAAATTTGTTTTAATGAAGATGTTACTAATAGTCCCGCGAGTGCAGCCAACAGTGTGCGCTTTAGTAGCATCTGTTATTTTACCAATATGCGTACTAGTGTTTATTGTTAAAGAAAGTTTGAGATATAGTAGCAAACCACGGTAATTGTCATGTCTTTTCACTGAACTGGCTCGATTATTGTTAACATACTCCACTGTACAACTAGACAATAGATTATCTATGCATCACCCACATGTTAGCTAACTTCGACTAAAAATTATTTTCTTCAGAATAGCTGTAATTTGCCTTCGTGCTTGTTTTGGCATAATTCCTTTGTCTACTTCCAAGTAAAAAAAAAGTACTGAAATATGAATTAAGCATTGAAATCCGAAAAGTTTTAAAACAACCTTGTCTCATTGGAAATACAAATATATAAAGCAGTATTTTTGGGATAACTACGTTAGCTTCATTTCAGCTAGATCAGTGGTTCTCAAATGGGGTTCCGCGGACCCTTTGGGGTCCGCGAAGGGATTTTAAAGGTCCGCAAAGCCCTGCCTCATCAATCAAACCCGGCAAGAAAAGTTTTTTTTTTTTTTTTTTTGTTTTCAGACTGAGAAGAAACGTTCTAGTTTTCGGGCAAGGTCTCTCTTGTGTATGTCAATGAGAGAAGTCTACTTCACGCTAGTCCTTAGTTCTATCCAAGTATTAAATCATTATCATAATTAACCTATACCTTTTCCTTCCCCCCGTCACGAACAGGGTCCTCCATCATATGCGCCGATACACAAAAGGTCCGCGAAACATCAATGGTTGAGAACCACTGAGCTAGATCATACTATATTCGTGTATGTAATAGCAGTGTGCACACGTTACTTTTGCCCAGGGTTATAAAAGTTACTGAAAGTACTGAAGAAACAGTTACTGATAATGAGTCATAAATGAGCCTAAGGTTCCTATCTAGACGCGTCCTTCAGATAGTACCCCGTGTGGCTATTGTCCTAGCGATAATTTATCTAGGAAGGATTATACAAAACACTCACATACCTCTTCAGTCTTTTGTTCTTATATAGTTGAGGACTCTAATATTGAGCTTAACCTGTACCATGATGGCCTCTTAATTTTATGGCAAAACTTTAAGCTTTTGAAAGCAATGCCCGGCAGCTCAGCTGTCGATTCAGGGAAGACACAGTAAAAGAAACACTCACAAAATCTTTTCTTGGTGGACAGAGGCGTAATTAGCCAGTCGCCCCGACGGGTGAACTTTCCTCGTACTACAATGCTTCATACAAAGATTCATAATTCCAGACATTTCAGACCAACGGCACTATGGCTGTTACCTTTCACCACTCTTGGGATGGAATGCTCGGGCGATGAAATGTGTCGACTGCCGTATCTGCTATGCGTCCTTCATGTAGAGTCATGGTCTCTTTCATGTCACCATAATCTCTATTTCAACTTCCCGAAAACACTTGAAACTTTCATCCGGAAATGTAACTTGCTCCAAAGTTACTAGGAATTGTATTTACGATACCGCTAGTTACTGATAAATAAAGGTGCTTAGCTTTGTACTGTCAGAGAAGGAGTTCTCGTTCAAGTTCTCGACTCATTTTCCAAGTTAAGCTGCTGTTAGGTTGTCAATCTCCACTCAATGATTCATTCATATGCCTCTCGTACGGAACAGTTGTTCGGGTTTTGCAACATTCACAGGTTATGATAGAGACCCTGAAACAAGATGAGCTAACACTCGACGTGCAGTTATTAACCCTTCGCATGGGCATATATTGGGCACACAATAAACACCTATTTGCTGATTTTCAGGTATTTGTAGAGTCTACCCACAGGGGGGGAAAAAAACAGAAAATTTAGGTACTCTTTGTTGGTTAGAACTTAGGAGTAACATATGGGCATCGATTTAACGCGGCTTGAGTTCCTAAAACCAAGTTCACCAAGCCTTATGGATTAAAACCACTTTATCACACTTCATTGACCAGTGTTACATAGGAGTGAAACGAAAACAATGAAATGACTCGTCTGCTTCGTTGAAACGTCCCAGCATTTCTTCCCGCAACGTCGCAGGCGCATAACTGAACATCGCACGATTCTGCCATGCGGCACACCAACGCCTTCAAGATGTCTCGCTGAGCAGTGCACTTTCTTCAATTGATTGTTTTTTTAACGAAAGGACAGCCTCCTAAAAGTGCACGTTGTCTCAGAAGGCGGATCTGTATGCACTCACTCACACGTTCACATTCATGTTCACACACTCTCACGTAATGTTCGCAGGGGACACACTCCGCTGGCTGCAGTTCTCTGCTGAGTCCTTCATGCCGGGTGTCTTGAACTTGAGATGTTGTGTTTCATCATTAGGATCGTGCAGATTGTTACAACCATAAGTCAAGCGCAGTACAAGGACATACTTATTGATGATGAGTACCAACACATAGTGCTGTCTTTTTTCTTCTTTTTTTTTGTAGAAGCTTGTCCACCTGTTCAGACTTGTTCAACTATGGCACTTCTAAATTAAGAACAGTGACAGTGCTTGTATGAACAGTCTTCGAGTTCCTGCTCAGAGAATAGTACTTTTTTCTCTTGTTGTTGCTCTCTTGAGTATTTTTAAAATCTTAAAATCGTTGCTGCCAGGTTTGTCAATGCTGTTTCTTATCTGTATCTATTTCGTCTTGTAAATGTCGTGCGGAATCATGCTGCAGTCCCTACAATGATTTCTGAAATCATGAATTCACACGATCAATCTCAGGCGTCTATTGCAACTTTTGGCCACATCTTCCCACCAGTTGGTACCATGTTCCTTCATGTTCGAAAGATTTCATGCGCCTGCGCTAGAAATCTTGCCATGGACGTAACCGTTCCTGGTAAATAAACACGCAAGGTGTCTTCATGCACTCTTTCTGAAAGATGGAAACACTCGCACTCAGACGCACAGACGAGTTCCAGGCGAGAGATGGTCCCGGGTGCAGCAAAATAGCCGCCGAAGCACTTCACACGATGGTGTTGTAGCCCACCGAGTCCATGTACAGGTTGTTGTCTATCCACTGCAAGTGTTTGGAGACCCTGGTATAGACGCCAGGGTAGCCTGCCACTCCGCAGCGGTACCCGAAGGACACGATGCCAACCGCCGTCCAGCGCCCTTCATTGTCCAGCATCAAAGGCCCTCCAGAGTCGCCCTGGGAAAAACGAAGTCGGGTAAATTTTAACGATAAAACATAAACGTGAGATTTACATCTGCGTAACTTTTTTTTGTGTGAGGGTTGACCAAGTTTGATGTTTTGTTGTCTCTCTGCATGACAGCTGGCATCTATACACCTTTCCATAAAAGCAGATGAGGGCGCGGTCATTGCTCTGTGTGTGTTATGCACGCGCACATTCTGGCTGGCCGAAATAGCGAGCGAGCGCTGGCTGGACTGTGCTTTAGCACGTGTGGACTGTGATTCTTGTAAACAGTGGAAACGTTGGTTCTTCATTTGCCTCTGACGGCGCGGAAGAAGCAACGTGCTCGTTGGATCAGTCGTACGTCTATTTTTCACCACCTCATCACGCTCCCACATACACACAGCATAGCCTCCTCTACACTGACAAAGCCTGGCAGATCACCATGAGACGCGCCTGCCGAAAGTGAAACGGTTGAGCGGCAGACGACGTATGAGAAGAGAGTCATGAAACGGGCGCCCCGCTGCGGCGAGCCGCCGAAACACACTTCTCCCGAGCGATGGAATATCCGATCGTGCTCCTCGCGTTCCTCGCGCGTCCTCGCCGTTACAAAAGCTGTGCGCTCACTACGAGCTTCCCAGAGAAATGCTCTGCGCTACCCGATCCTCGCGCTCCAAATCTGCGACCGGGCACTCTATGGCTCCGTCGTCGAGCCGCCAGGCTTTGTGACCACAGAGGAGGCTATGCACCCACGCGCAGATAGCGGGGTCACATGATGAAGGCAATGAAGATTGATTGGTCTGGTGAGCGCGTGGCCCCTTCTGCACTATCAGCTAAGGGATGAACGAAGTATAGAGATCATATCTGCTCCTGGCCGGACGCGGCGAATAGACATCCCAATCATGTACACCGTATGAAATCCCAGTATCACCATATCTAAAAAAAAACAATCAAGAACAAATTACGAACCAAGGGGTAATGCCACATGGATATTAGATCAGCCATAATTCATGGTGACCGCGTGGGCGTGCATATGTGTACACATCCAGGGCCTATAAAATGTGACACACAACACCGGCGAGCTAATTATTTAATCTTCTTTCAGGATCACCCTTTCGAATGTACTAAAGTCATAAGCAATAAGGTGAGGTTGAAAATGTGATGCTATCATAAATAATGTACGTCCGAAATGTCACGCTCAGTATCTGAGCGAAAACATGAATATTCAAATAATTAACTTTTACGACTTTCTTGGTGAAGACTTGTTCATTAATACAGCTAATGTAGGACAGGGTAGAAGTTTGCGCAAACTCAATCGGATCATTTTTGAAGTAGCTAGATGCACTCCAGCAAACGCACTTCTATCATTAAGCTATTGACCTACGGAAATCCATTTTACATAAAGGTTTTCGTTGCAAGAGAAGACATGAAATGCCGTGTTGAGATCCGTGAGTGACTAAAGTCACTTCAAAGTTATGTGGAAACAAATGCTTCCTGAATACCGGGAAGTAATATTCAAAAAGACAATTATCGAATCTAACTTTTATTATATCTTTTGTGGGAAACAACGACAGTCAGCACTCGCAGAAGGTCGTAGGTTTCGGAATTAATGTATTGCACAAGTTACGTGGACGTCTCGCGCTTGATTGCAACCCTGGCCTTAACTGTTAATTATTTGAGTATTGCATAGTGCAAGTTGTTTTCACGGGACACGTATCGTTCTTTATCTGTAAGTGACCAGAGAAAAAAATGTCAATGACTTCACCCGCTCTCAGCCGGATAAAAAATAATCGAACTATTGACTTTTGTTTAGGCAAGCCTGTAAGCAATCTGGCCTTTAATACAGAGTCAAAAATCAAGTGGTAATGTCGGTATATTGCTTAACATGCAGTTATAGGACTGTATATAAACGCTTCAAAACTCGACCATCCCAGCTGAACGCAATCATGATCTAGTTCCTTCGTTAACACCCGCGTCACTCACGAACAGTCAGTCCTTCGACCTCGTCTTCTTTGGCGCCTTGAGTTTATCGCCAAAAACAAACAGCGATCATTTTAGCAGCTCCACGTTGTCTACATGCACTGTGCAAATAGGAGGAGGCGACAGCAGTAAAGATGGGAGGGGAAAAGGGGGGGGGGGGGAAGGGGGGGAGCGCTGCCTAAGAACATTCAAAGAAAATACAACTGCACCCACTAAGCGACTTTTCGTGAGTCTCGTATTACACAGCCGGCGGCTCCAAATTAGCGGCTAGTTCTTCTCGAACCGGATTCCCCATGCGTGTTGCATCGCGCCACCGGAGCTTTGACCTGGCTGCTCCCACTCGCGCCGTAAGCACATCTTGCCGATGCACAAACATTCTGATGGGGGACGCTCTTCGTCTAAAACAGCAGACAGGTCTTTTTGTGGCCCATCTCACTGTCTCGGGGAGCTTCGAAAATTACGGGTTTCTCATTTCGTAGCGTACTCGAGACCTCTCTCTGCGCCTGCATTAGTGGCGTAGCGAATTCCTCCAACGACAGTTCCTGGAGACTAGCGGTTACACCGCGCCTGTCTAGCTTTTAGGTCTTCGTCTACATGATAGATGATACCAATATCATAGCGGGTGGCGCGGCCTCGGACTAATGAATTACCTCGGTCTCGAACCTCGTGGTGTGTGTGCCGGCGCGTCTGGAGGCGCTTGAGTGCGCATCTTGTGATCCCTTGTTTGTGCGCAGTTGTTGAGGTTTTGACGATCAGATTATATCGGTGAAACGATGACGGTGGCTCCAGGTATGTGTGGCCCTTGACGCTCAACAGGGGCGTGACGGTGCGGTATGGCTCGTTGGAAAATGACTCGTTGCACGGACCACACTGTTTGCATTTGCAGATCACCGCCCTTGAACTGTGCCACTGCCGACAAGTGGCATGATACTTAGTTTAGGTAGGCTTTGCCGCGGAGTGTAGAAAAGAACGTCATGGAGCTGGACTGACGTTCATAAGTCATACAAATCGTGACGTGCGCGTATTGGGTTTCATATTAGGCAGCACAGAAAAACGCGTGACCTTCCATTGGCCTTCGAGCATTCAAAATAGCCATCATCTGAGCAGAGATATATATTAGCTTCAAGTACCGATGATAAATAGTGCGGAAAGATGATTTGTTTGTCGACTGCTTCCCAATGACCATGAAGGGTGCTTTCGTGCTCATACGAAGAAATGCGCAGAGCAGATATGCTCAGTTTCGTGTACACAAGAGACTGTGGAAACTTGAGTTCCTAACTCCAGACGTCGCTTTCAGGGCAAGAGCTACAGCGCAAATTTTTGACTTTATCGTGCACCTTATATCCCCTTATATTCCTCGTAGCACTCCAATAGTCACTGAGAGTGTAGGATATACAGATAAGTCCCAAAACATGTCATACCCGCTCCTCAGCAAATGAGATTGCTGCATTAACCGATAAGAACGACGAAGAACGAATCAAGAAGCAAAGAGACGAGAAAATGATAAACCGCGCCCTGCGCTTCGTGAACTTTCAGGCACTACAGGATATATTCTCGCGACCACTGAATTTACTGCTAGATGAGGCCGCCACAACTGGAGCTTTCACGGACACTTTCTTTAAGCTCATCTTGACTATCATTTTACTCGCACTACCTTCGTTGTACCGTACACACGATTCAGAGAGCGTTGTTTTACTTTGGCCATCAGACTTTGAGTAAAAGAAGTCTGGCGATGCCGACAAAACACTTCTTTCGACTTCTTTCGCGGCAGCGTCGTTGCCCTCGAGCACGCGGTGTTGCAGTCGTTCGGCCGCGACCGTTTGGGTTGAACGCCTGGTCACTGCCACCAACCGAACGTAATTGTCGCTCCACGAGCGACTAGCCAGCCCACAATGACCAGTGCGGCTCCGCCCACGGAGCCCCAGCGCCGATTTCCAGTTCGCGTGCAACCTGACTCGTCGGCGTGCTCTTTTCTCCCGAACCAGGCTGTTGTTCGGAGTTGGTCGCTGGCGATTTCCCGTCGCTGGCACGTTTTATTCGCGCCCGTGAACGCCTTCTGAAAGAGGCGATGCATCATCGCCCCGGACGACCCTCGTCGTGCATGCGCTTTCGGACGTTTTTTTCCAGCAAAAATTTCCCCGACGAAAACAAAGCCGCTGTGACGAGCGAGAGTATTCGAAGCGTGCGCACGAACGTCTAATGTGCCATGGTTTACTCCCGTTGCGTGCCGACGGACTTCGTGACAGAAGCGCGAAATCCGAGCACGTTACGCGCGAACCTCGATTGCCGTGTCACGCTTCGGGGGTTACGCGAAACGAGGGAAAAATACGGGGGTCGCAACAACCGGCTGGAAGGTTTGTTTGGAATGATCGAGGTTTCATGTGAGGACCGACGTGGATGTCCAAGTAATCGCAAAGACACTGCTGTCCATAGTCCTCTATATCCTCTCTACCACATTGTAGCTTTCTGAATACAATGAACAAGTGGTATTCACATGGTTGCCTCTGGTACAGTTGAGGACGCACTGATAGCGAGCTTTCAAGGGCGTGCATCGTGAGACAGAGAGCTAAACTATAGTGACAACTTGTGTCCGTCGCCTCTGACTTAAAGATCGCACCAGAAAAACAAATAAAGAAGAAAAACACGCATGCTTTACTATGGATTAGATAACAGTACACGTGCCGTTGTTTCGGCTTCCCGACACACCCCGTCGTCACGACGTCACAAGTTTACAATCCTCTACAGCGTCCCCGGAAAGCCAGAAACCGGGAAAGGCCAGCAAGAAACACCACCGCTTTCACGCGGAAAGCGGAGCGCCGTCGTCATATGACGTCGTAGCGATCCAAACACCTATTATAGAAATCCCGCGTTTATCCGCGCGGAACGGAAGGACGATTTTCTGCGGGTCGAGGATGTCTGGTGGACGCTCCGAGCGGCGTTCGGGTTGCCAATCGACTCGTCTGTGGGAAAGCCCTGTGACCTGGGAGCACCCTGGAGTGTTCCCAGAGGGCTGAGTCAGTTCCCGAACGACCAGAGGGCTAGCCAGAAATAGCCGGGCGAGAGGAAAGAAGTCTTCCGCAACAACTGCACGCGCTCAGAGCACAGCCGCTTTTCTTGCGCTTCGTTTGTTTCCATGCCCGGACAGTTATTGCACGAAGATGACCCCCGCGAGGGATGCTGCCAAGCTTTCCATAACAGGTTAAGACATGATTCTCTCTTCGTGCGCGTTTGAATCGGGTCGACATCGAATGGAAGTTCGCAAAGACGAGCGGAAAACTTCGTGAAGGGTCAGTCTAGCTACCGGGTGTCTACTGAGATCTTTAATAAATATTCGTACAAGGTCGGGCGGTGCAGACACGAGACGTACGGTGTATAGTATGTGTGGATTCTCCCAATTTACTGAAATTGATTATTACTAATATTAAAAAATAGTTATAACGATAATAATAGCGACAAAGAACAACTCGCAAAGTCCGGTGCGATTTCTCAAGCCTGTCGATGGGAAGGGGAATCATTACGTTGCATTAAATGCGATTATGCCATTGTGCGCGGATGGGCCTGGGGCGGGAGATCGAATCGCACTCTTTGGATGAAAATATCCTCCTGAGAAAATGTTTGATGACTATCGCATACACTGCTTACGGCTGCGCAGAAGTGTTGCTCCCAGCCCCATTTCCCTCATCTCTACGCTGAATCCGAGTAATGAGCTCCTGTAAAGACTGCGATCATTTTTCAGTTGAATAAGTAGCCGTTGAGAGCATAGTTTTGGTAGATGTCGGGTAGACAGCCTTTCTCACTGTTTATTTTTATGTAGTGGGTTCTAATCACAGCATCGTCTTTGAGATGACCGCGGGTAGACTACTTCGCTTCAATATGGGCTCTCTCTTTTTCACATGCAATTCACTGTCAACTTGGGTCAAGCAACAAATTGCGTCGCTTAAGCTCATGTAGCTAGTTTAATGTAATTTCAGCTGGGAGATAGCGAAAAAATCTGGCATTCGTGCGTTCGTGTTCAGTGTCGTGTGCGTGTACGCGCGCGTGTCGTTACAGCATAATTGAAACACCAAGAAAAGAACAAAACTAATACCAATCTCAATTAAAGTCTTTACCGTATAACTACTTTGACACTATTCTAGTAATTAACCTGACAATCTTTACATATTTCAGAATGAGTATTCCTCGGCGAATAAAGACAATGAATCCAAAATCAATGTATATTTGCTCACACTGTTACTTTTATCATCGTTATTAAAGGATTACATGCGTAACTTCACATTATTACGCATTGCGAGATTATGCAACTGAATTTCACTGGGTTGCAGAAATGGGATTATTGTCCTTTCCGCAGGATATTCCGATATTTTTTTTTTTTAACATTTACACAATTGCTTTTTTTTTTAAATATTTGGTCTGCTTTGAGAGTCGGGCCCAATGCCCGACGCAGCGACCGCATTAATAAAACAACTCAAGGCAGCATCATAACCGCTTAGATTATGATGTTTCCTAGCCAGCTCCCCTGCACAATTTCGCTCCTTGCAACTCAAGGCGTTGTTTCCCGCCTTCGGAGTTCGTACTTCTCACCGGACTCACAAAACAATAGCCGTAGGCAAACTTGGAAAGGAAAGAGAGATACCCCTTTCGTTGAGACATCGGTGTCGGGAGAGAGGTGTTACCACCGGTCGCCAAACCGGCTCGAATGAGCCACAGCGCACACAGAACGGCAATGAACGTACTCGAACTGGGAGAGGGCGGGAATGTAGGAGGGCATGACGGATGGAGAAGCCATGAGAAAACAAAGCAAAGGCTGCTTATATGCAGGAGGGGGAAAAAATAGAAGAACCGTATCGTGCTATATATAGCGTTCGAGTAGTGCGCGAAACTAAGCAAGGACGGGGAGGCCAATTGAAAAAGCCCCCGGGAACGTATTGCTATGACGGCGGGTGATCAACGGGTTCGATGAATCGGAACTTCGCAGCTATTTCGGAGCGACCGACGAAGTGTGAACTTCATAGGCGTGGCCTATGAAGTTCACACTTGCTTTCCGATTCGTTCGTTGGCTTCGCTGCCTGCTAATATCGCAATCTTATTCACTGCGGAGAGAGCTACTGCTTGAACTGATGCAGCATGATGCTTACTTATTAGCTGCGCATTCAATGTCTCGGGTAGTCCGAAGTGCCAGTGCACTCACGAACGTTAACCCGTTTTTGTTTAAATTGCATCACGGCACAAAAATCTTGAAGGACGCCTAAGCTTCGCCTTTAAGAGACGCGATAGCGTTAACGGGTCCCGTCCGCAAAGCCTCCTCATTTAAACGCGTGCTCGTTGCCAAGCCGTGCAAGCGTGAGTGCGTGGTCTAGTCCGTAGCGTCACGTGTCGTTACACATTACTGTGACGTCATGACACGATCGACCCGCTAAGGTTAATGTGAAAATTTCCCGCTAAATTTAGTGGAAAATTTTTCGCTAGTTTTGGCGGAAAAAGTTTCCGCTAAATTTGGCTGGAAAGTTTTCTGCTGACTTTGACGGGAGAAGTTTCCCGCCATATTTAGCGGGTAAACCCCATAACAAATCGCGCCTAGCCACGTGTGACGTCACGTGTGACGTCACGTGGCTACGCGCACGTTACATTATGTGATTTTTTGGTCCCACCGATGCCAACGCCGACGCCGGATTTTCTAGCACAAGCTCCTAAACGCTATCGCGTTAATATAATTTAGTACAAACTGATTGCCACATAAATTATACCCCCCCCCCCCCCCCCCTAGCAGCGCCTCCTACAACTACATAAGTGCTCCCGCAGCATTTTATATTTGCATATCTGCGTCTTGCCATAAGCAAGTAGAAAAAAAAAACTACAATTACTTTTTTTTTGAACTTGTGCTTGGGTTTGCTTGCTCTAGCATGTACTGCGGTTATGGCCGATAAAGGTTGACAGTAATATGTTGGTCAATTTGCTCGGTCTGATAAGTTTCGGGGGACCGCCGTACGCACGCAAGCTGCGCCATGTGCGCCTCTCTTTTCTTTTTTTTTTTTTTTTGCGATATTTTTTTTATTTCTTGGGTTTGCGAGAGGCTATATCTTAGTCGCCAAAAGACAAAACCACCAACATTATCGCGTTAAAGTTTGTGGTCCACTCGAAGCTTTGGTCTGCAATGTGTACGGATGCAGATATATGGGGTTCAAGTAAAACCGACGTTTCTATTCTTATCAATGCATCCACGGTGCGAGGACGTGCTTCGTGCTCTTCACGATGAATTGTCAGAGGGCGACGTGTGAAAAGAAAGAAATGAGAATGCTAGATGTCGAGGCAGAGTAGCAGACGAGAACAAACTAGAAAGAATGCGTGCAATTTTAAGACTTCGTTCATGTCCTTTCTTGTCTGTATATACTTGTCTACTACCGACGTCTGTATACACCACTAGCACGCATTGCCACCTCCCTTCCAAAGAGTACGTGTCGCGACTGACAACGTGCAAAGAGCTAATGGTGAGCCTGGGGCTCCGATTAGAACTATCGACTCCAGCCCGAGTAAAGATTTGAGGCGACAATTTCAAATGGGATGTTTGGAAACGCTAATAATCAAACAAAAGTGGTATAAAAAATCGAGCCCTGCCTATATATGATTCGCCCGCTCTTCGCCATGCCCCGACCTCTGACCAATTCCTGGAGACCGACCCCAACGTTCGCCTCCTTCGCCCCGCGTAAGTATACCGCTCCCCCACCTAATAAACACACGGGCGATGATACGCAACTCCGGCAGATACCACGCAAGAGGGAGGGGCTCGCACCGCCTGGTAGGAGCGGTGAAGGTAGAAAATAATGAATAGTCCACCCTTGGGCTCGCGTGAATAGAGGTTGGAGGTGGGCATGGTCCTCTCACCTGGCAGGCGTCCTTGCCACCCTGGGGCAAACCCGCGCAGACGAACTCCGGCGTGATGCCCCGGCGGAACGGGTTGCCCCGCAGCTTGGAGTAGGACTCGTTGCACTGCTTCACGGGAACCACGGGCAGACCGTTCACCTCTTGCAGGATGTCGCTCCGGGGACCCCCTGCGAGGAATCAGCCCGTTACCACCGACACCTTGATCAGGGAGAGGGTAACTTTGAAGATAAGTCAGAGCTGTGTTCGTCGTTAAAGGGACCAACAAATGAATATGGGGCTGGGATAAACGATTTTCGATTGGAATCTTACTAATCGCATATCGTTTAGTGGGTCAAAAGAAAGAGGGTGGAAAATCAAAAGCCTGCTTTTCGGAAAGAAAACTCGAAAATACAGCGGAATATTTCGTACCACATTTCCTTCAAACGTTTTCCGCCTCTTTACGGCGATATATCCGCAGTACCCAAAGCACGTCAGCCTACCCCAGCTCACGGATTGGGCACAAGCACTGAGTCACTCGGACGTATGCGCTCGCCAACAATCAATCCGTTGACGAACATTTGAATGTGCCGTGGCGGCACTTATCATCGCTTGCGAACGACAAGTTCCATGGTGTGCTTAAAAAGGACGGTGGAAGTTTGGAGCCATCGGATCGGTGCCCAAGCATGTCACAAACTCGTTATTTCTCATTTCGCTTTTGAGTTAAGGAGAAAAGTTAAGTTAAGGAGAAAGAAGTTGAAAAATAATTTCATGGCTCCATTAAAGCTGGTAGAGTTTCGTCATCAAATAACTCTAAACTCAAAGCACACAAAAAAAAGAAGAAAAAAGGGGAAGGGGGGGGGGGGGAGGGGTATTTTCATACAGCTTGAACTTAGTCTGCCTTAACGGGCGACTTGTCTCTCAGCTGTAAATGAGCAATTTAGCCAGTGCAGTACAACCGCTAGCCTGGGGTCTTTGACGTGCACCACGCAATTATAATACACGACCGCACGCCGGTACGATGCTCATCCAGATCGAAACGGGCAGGGTGGGGAAGATAGAACTATAGGGGGTGCTTTATCGAGCTTGTTGACCCCAATAAAGCCCCTCGATATGTTTGCCCTTGTCTTGCAAGAAGCGTCAAATGCGCCAGTGTACGAGGCCCATGTCTCGAGTGGCCGTTGGAAGCAAATGGCGGCGCATCACTGAAATGAGCCGCCCTTGGAAGCGAATGGCGATGAAGCACCTGCTCGTGGCACGTGTTTTGCGCGTTTCCACTACAATGGTTGGCGGTACTTGAAAGCGTTAATCTTATCAAGGGACTTTAGTCCCCACAGCCCGGTGTTTACTACCACAGCATAACAAAGAAATTGAACCTCGCCAAGCACGGTCTGGGCACGAGCGCTTCGCTCTGACCAGTAGTTTAGTAGCACGAGGAGCGGCCTTCGAATCGTCATCTTCGATTTATCGATTCAAAAACAAACAAGAAAGTACGGTTTGTTGTTCTGACTGCTGAAGCGTACCGCTAAGGCGTGACTGTTCGACATCCCCAATAGGATCCCTGGGTTCCGCAGCGCAAGCTATCGCTCCACGTACTTCGAGCTGACTAATCAGTCTCCGCTTCTACGACAATCGCTATTTCGGCCCCTTTTAATCTTCGAAGCGTCGAGAGGGTCGTTCTAATCCAGTCGCACCAAGGTCACCATGAAACATTATCGTACTAAAGGTGTTCCTCGCCAATATAAGCGCATTTGGCACAGTGTATGCAATCAACTTATCAACGATGCCCATCTCCACTGATATCTTGCTAATGTATCGTTCTTTTTGCACATATCAAAACAGGAAAAAAAATAACGGGGAGCTTGGCGCTACTTTCCCACGATCCAATTACTTTATTGTGCGCTAACCCACTCGGCTACCGATTCCGCATCAAAGCGAAGGCAATACATGGCTCGCGCTGACGTCACATTCTCGGCCATTGTGCTGGCCTTGCTGGTTAGCGCGTATCTTCTGGGGCATGCAATTGACACCATCGAACTTGTTTTTCTCGGCAAGGACAAGTAGAAATGACCACAAGTATCCGCGTAGCAAGCTCCTGTACCTGCGCGACCCCTCCCCTCCCCCCCCCCCTCACATTTTTTAAAGTCTAAAGACTTCAGTCGCAAGACTTTTCTTTTTTTCTTACAATAAACGTTTTCCAACTTGCGTCAACGTGGAGGATAAGATATCAATCGGCTTCATCGGACTCCGCTGTATTGCTACGCATTCTGCACACACAACTCCGTCCTTGTCATTACAATTCTCGGCACTAAGCTTGATGACTGCTCCATAATCAATGAAAGCGCCGCACCCACCCACGCATTAGCTGATAGACGCTCCCTGGACATAGTATATAGCTTAAGTACTTCGACAAATATCTCGCTATCTAAACAGTTCATTGTAAAAAATATGGAGTGTCAACTTTCCCGCAAAGCACCTTGGAAAGCCAATCGCTGCAATATACGGATGGAGCTCGGCGAAGCACGGCCAATGCTAGTATATCTAAACCAAAGCATGGCGGTTCACCATGTTCAGCGCAGGTAGGTATTTTGTTTCCTTTTTTTTTTTAGGTCTATACGTATTATCAGCCTCCTCATTCGTCGAGCTCCCTCCATTGACTGCACTATAGACTCTCCAAGTTGCTTTACGGGAAAATAGTTGCTCCAGATTTCTTAGAGCGTTCTTAGCGTGTAGGGCAGTTCCGCGTATTGAGGTAACCTACCGAACATGGTGTCCCCCCATCCTAGTACGGTGGCCTCCCTGCCGACCAGGTCGGACGACGCCAGGCTCGGTCCGGGCAGGCAGACAGGCTTGATGAGCGCCAGGGGCACCGGCTCGGCCAACCGCAGAAGCGCGATGTCGTTGTAGTACTCCCGGCGCACGTAGTCTTCGTGCACCACGTACCGCTCCACCCGGTACACGCGACCTTCGTCCACGCGAATCTGGCCGAGACGTACTCCGAACGTTTGCGAGGCCCTGCACGGACGTCGACACAACGCCACTTGAATAAGAAACGCTTACGAACACAAGAAGCCCGAGACTTCCGGCAAGAGCGGAATCTCCTTGAATATTTCACCTACTGGCCACCGTATATTTTTCCAAAGAACCCCAGCGATTATCTTTCACATACAGTGTTTCAAACGCCTAACGCAATCACAATCGTTAAAAGACTGTGGATCGCGCCAAGTTCTACTGTAAAGTTGAAGTTGTATCGTGAAAAGTTACATCACACTCGATGGCGATTTTATGTATTACCAGAAGCACCAGTGGGAGGATGAAAACGACCGTCGGAATAAATGGAAACGATTCCTCCAGGTGGTTTTCTTCTTCCCTCGTGCTGGAATAAACTTAGAGATAGCAGTACGCATTATCGTCTATCGTGAGCCGATAACTTTCCCGTTCGGGTGTAGACTGTTAAGAAATTTTCAGTACTGAGGTACAGTCGCGATCGAGATGAAGGTGAACACACAGTCGTCTGCTGCTCCATACTGGCACAGTCATAAAACGGCAGCCGTGGCAGCGTGTGCGTTTTGTGAACCAAGCGTGTCAAGGTGCGATATAAGGCGCCCGAGCAATGTTCAGTCGATCATCATCGCTTGCGCGCGTAACTGATATGGCTTATTCGTGACTGATGTAGCTATCAATGATCGCGTATTCCCCTTCGTATAGATCAAGACTGCGGGCTATACTTTTACTGAAAACAAAAACGGCCATGTGTAAAAGATTAATGCATCGGTCCTCAAAGTAACTGACCGTGGACGTTGGAAGCAGTGTGCCGCTGATATGACGTATCGGTCGTTGATGAGGAACCCACCGCAGAGGAACTTGAGCTCACTTCCTGTTAGAATGGCTGCCTGCAGAAAACGAGTGAAAGGAGTAAAACTCATGTGAGCTCTTGCTATCCACCAAACATAATATCCCATTGAGTACAGACACACCACACTTTTACCCCCGATATCGCAACCACATTAGAGAATGAACCGCGAGGAAACAAACATTGCGGTTAGCGACGCAGAACGTTGCCAGATTAAAGTGGTCAGCGAACTACTGTACATGCCAACCTTAAGGAATCCCAGTCGGCTTAGCCTCGAAGTCAACCTCCGGAAAATTGAAGAGCCGCCATTTTGGTGTTCAACGACTGTTTCGGGGACTATCAAGCTAAAGCATATTGTTACATATTGTTATTTTTATTAACCTTAGAGAAATCAATATTGTTAATAAATATCGTTAACTTCCGGTGGTACAGCAAAAGATCGACCTTGGGAGTCAAGGGGCGAGATCAGGATCACGCCGGTGTTGCGCGGGTGCGCGGGTGCTACAACCTGCTAACCTGCAGGGTTCATTAACTTGCGTCACACAGGGGTGGTCACTGATTTGACTACAGCATTCCGTCACAACTCCTTATGATACAACCACTGCCTTTCTGAGCATGTTCGCCCGAATGCTGTTGAAAGGGGAGAGTACATTGCCGAAGACCAAGGTGATGGGCAAGGTGACTGACCATCCAGGGCCAGGTGTTGTAGTCAGCCTGTCCGCCCACGGCCAGGCTGACAGCAGGCGCAAGGGCCTTGATGAGTTCCGGGTCCGGCACCCGGGCGTCCACTTTACCCGTCCGCTTGGTGCGCCTCGGATGGTGCGTCGTGAGCGTACGCCATCTTGGTTTCTTGCTGCGGTGTGTCTTTGCCGCCCAAGCCACCTATAGGAGCGAGGAAAGCACAACGCATAAAGGACAGTGAGACAAAGCAAGTACGAAGGAGGATTATATTTATAGTGTCATTTCAGTTCCCTACGAATGACTGGGAAGCCAAAGCAAAGCCTTTATAGAGGTGCAAACAACAAGATAACGGCATCACGACATAAAAATGATGAAAGAATCCTTCACCTATCGAGAGTTCCGTTATGGTGTTAGAGAAGTCATTTACGTGAAAAACAATAAATGTACGAGCTATTTCTCGATATTTATTAGTGATTGCCGTAACTGAAGCATACATACGGAATTTTATAATGTTGGCTTTATTTGACATAACACGACTAGACCCGTCCGTTCTTTGTCAATGTGAAATTCTACGGAGTATTCTTACGATGCTGGAAGAAGGATCATACAACGTGCGTATCGATTAGCTCAAAAGACGTATTCGGCAGAAAAAATAACGTATAAATGTTCTATACGAAGCTCTCTGTCTTCGGCAATGGACCTGAAGTTCCGTGCAAGTAGTTACAGAATGAGTGCGATAGAGCTCATTTGGTTAATCAGTTTGCTTTGCCGGACGGGCCTGACCATTTAGCGTTTTCTCGCGCAAAGCAGGGCAGCCGAAAAATCATGAGATGCCGTGCCTCATTCCGCAGTACTCCACCCGCAGCGGGACGTCCCCGGAGCAGCTTTGCCTTGAGCTCGGCGATGACGTCATCGGAGAGTCCACTCTGCGCAGCCTCCTCCTTGCTTGCACTGCTCCAGATGGACTTCGACCCTCCGTCGAGCTCGTCCGAGTCTTTGAAACCCTTGCCGCCTTTTCCGGTTCGACGTGGCCTCCGATCCTGGAGGTCTCGAGCTTGTCTCTTGGAGAACGTCTTGTAATTGTACCAGGAGTCCGGGTCAGGTGTCGTGGTCGGGTTCGGGTTCGGGTCTTCATCGTAATGTGATCCCTGCCGTCGCCCATAAATGTAACTTGGGCTTCCACCAGAGTTGTACTCGAAGTACTCGAACTGATGATGACTGTTCAGGACATGGTTGTTCTGGTAGGCGCTGTACTGGACGTGCTGCTGTTGTTGCTGAGATGGCTGCTGCGGTTGCTGATACCCTTGCTGAGCTGAACGCTGCTGTTGCTGGTACCCTTGCTGAGGACGTTGGTGTTGGGTTTGAGTTTGCCCTGAATGTTGATGTTGGTACTGATGAGGATATCGCCCTTTTGTAGTTTGCGTCTGCGGCGCGGGCACTGGTGATCGTGTTGTCGTCCAGTAGGACCGTGTGGTGTGCTGACCAGGATTGTATACGTAGTTGACGCTCGGCCGCAGCGTTGGGTACGTTTTTGCAGACTGAGGAAACTGCACCCCTTGACGACTGTCCTGGGTGGTGTGGGCCTGCGGGTTGATCCATGTGGTCGTGTTGAGGTCTCAGCCTCTGGTCCAATGCTAAGTAACTTCGTGATCTAGTCTTAGGCCATGCTCCTACGTTGATACTTTTCGCTAAATTGTTCGCCACATTTAGTAAAAACACGTGGTGCCCGATTGCATTGAAGGCCGTTTTTTATTGGTTACTAGTGCAACGGCTAAATGCCATAAGATTAGCGTTACTTCCAAAGAGCGGGTAAATATTTCATTGTATAAAACATTATTAAGTGTTACTTAAACCGTGACAGTCGCTACATAGGCACCAATAAATTATCTAATGTGCGCCTGATAATAGATATTATCAAGTTTACAGTGGAATTACTGAGTTCGTGCACGACAACGAGTTTATTATTAACGCCGTACTTTAACGCGCAAGAGTAAACACCTTATGATTTGCCATGCGTTGCTATTTGCATCTAGTACGATAGATTAGCGCAAATGGCTGTGGTAATTATACTTCTATTTTCTTTTCATACTTACTTGTTTCTATCCTCTTTGCAACAGAATGACGTTTTTATTTAAAAATACGTGTCTATACAGTAAGCTTCATTAGTAAGACGCTTTAGAATAGGCAGAAAAAATCCCAGATACATTCCGTTGATTCTCAAGATATTATCCAAAATGTGAGAAATCTCAAACCTGTGAATTGTAGGAAGAGCCTTGAGGAGCAGCGCTGTTAGCTACGACGCCAGGCCTCTTCGAAGAGTAGGCTGGCCTGGGAAATTGCCCGCTAGCCGCCGTCTTCAGAGGTGTGGACTGATTGGCAGTAGTCGCCCGCGCAGATGCGTTCACTTGTGGGATGACCAGAATGCCACATTCTGCAAGCGACACGGAAAGACAGCGATGTTGGGTGTCGTATAGCAACAACGCGGTAATTTGACTGTCAACTTTCAATATAAGTAGTCATTTGACTGGGAGACTGTCAGTACAAAATTGAGGAACCATATCGCTCAAGGGTAAGTGCACTTCGTAAAACATTAGCAGGGCGCGAATGCCACAACCTAGGAGCAGAACTAAAGTACACTAGAGGCGGTACATAGCGTCACATTTCAACATGGACTATTCCCATTTCTTAGAACCAAGATTTTAAACCCACTTAACCCATGTAGCAAATTGACGCTTATCAGCTTGTAAACATTCTATCTGTACACTGTGCCATAGGACAATTCTTTACCCATGAGAACTGCTGCCCGAATGGTACATAAACCATATACGAGTTGCAGACGTGAGCACATATTGGGTCTGTACCGCCAAATCAACACTGGCGATGAAGTACACTATGACCTCGCCGTCGCGGAAGGTGGTACCGAGCGTGTTTGTGCTCGCCCACTATGAGTATGTTTAGGATACTGATAGTTATTAAAACAAATTGTAAATAACAACAACAATCATACACTCGACAGCGCCATTCTCTGGCTCAGCTTTTATTTGTTTTAGTGAAAAAGTTACTGCAGGTCGCGTTCATCTGATATTCCCAAGGTGCGAGTGCTTGGGTTACCTGAGGTTGCATTGATCGAAAATTAATGCCCAAGATATTGCTTAACATTTTTCGAAAAGTTTCTAGTTCCCGTCAATGACAAAATAGTTGTTGCTTCTGTGCTTGTTTAGCGACGCCTTTTGGAGTCTCGGCGGACGAGAGATCGACGCTCCGCTCTCATCGCGACAAAGTGTCCTCCCCTGATCGGTTTTTAAACGGCATTATGGCTGAAACGACGAACGTAACGACTCTGCGTAAGCGCCCCGGAGACCGCAACAGCATCGTTTGCCTTTATAGAGGAGAACGACACCCGTTCAGACACCCGCAACTTGGCATCGTTTGGTGCCGAATGACGCGCGTCTAACATCGCAGGTTACCCACAGAAACCGTTGATGAGAGTCGGCGGTAGCTTGAGCTCCTCTGGCCCTCAGCTCTTACGCAACATCAGGAGACTAATGGCCGCGAGGTTGGCGAAGGAGTAAAGAAGAAGAAGAAAAGAACCAGAAAAGGTGCGCAACAACCTATCTTGTCGATTACCACGGGTGAAGCAGCGGAAGTCCCACAAAACGCATTTGAGTTCCGGTGTAGGCATTTTTTTTTTTAATTTTTTTTTTTATTCGCGTATTCTGTTTGTGGAAGCGGGTTTCTTCATTGCTTTTTTTTCCGCTAGGGTTTGCTAGAAAATTAACAGCAGGCGCGACCTTGTAGTCAACCTTGCCGCGTTTTCTTTTTCTTAGTCTCCATTTCACGGCTGTTGTTGTTGCCGACGCAAATATTGCTTGACTTTAAACCAAGCGCTACTTTCGCGTGATCCTTCCTCGTTTGGGGCAGGCATGAAAGGAAAACAGAAAGGCTGTGTGCATACTGAAAGCACCTTAGTTTCCATCAAAAACAACATGGCTTTCAGAGGGAAGTGCGATCAAGCGTGGCGCGACATGCTATCGCTTTTTGGTAAGTGCGGAAAGTATCACAAAATAACAGATTTCTTTTGAACTAAAGGTAGTTTGTCCACCTTTTGTGAGCTATCAACCTTTGTGTAAAAGTGAAAAGATATTTTTGTAGCACAATGCATCACCCGAAGTACTCCTTTAGTCATGCACTGGCGTAGTTCCAACCACGCGACTGCGATAACCTTTCAAGAGGTAATTGGATGAAAAAAAATGTTCTAGAGAATTAAAAAAAAAAAAGTGCTGCCTTGTTAAAAAAATAGGCATTGCGAAATGGTATTTAGAATAGCGTACTGTCGAGACTATGTCTTGCGCAAAGTAACTCGATGGCTTTCTTAACCGCTTGACTTCCTACTGAACTTTATGCTAGAAAAAGGTTGAAATTTCGCATTTTCGCAATATACAAAGCCCTTGACAGAATCAAAGCCCCGAATCCTTCATTAGTAATCGACACCGTATAGTATTACAACGTTCTTCACATCTATTTAACGACGAGAAACGAAGTTATACAAATTCAATAACCCCTGCGGAATAATTTATAAAATATATCGCAAAATGGCGTTATATCTCATCCCCTAATACCACTGGTTTACTCCAGTGCAAACGACGTCCTTAACGCCTTTTGATTCTACCTCTTCAGTAAAAATAAAAAAAACCACTAGCGTTTTTGTTTGACCCCGGCAAGGACTAACGTAACAGTGTAAAAATTGAGCCGCCTAGCCGAAGAACAAATACACAATATTTCCAACATGAAAGAAAACAGGTTCATTGCAGCAGTGGTGTCGAAGCTACACGTGTGAGGTGAGGTAAATCGTGCGGCGGGAAGGCGTGTGAGTCACCACTCCAAAGACCAGCGCGTGAATCACATCTTCGGCTTTCGTCTGGGTTGCTGGGAGCTTTGACTTGTTATCACTAAAGCGATAGACGAAACATTCTGAGTTTATGTTTGACCGAGGAACCTCAACCGCGGACTCAGGAGGTTGATACAAAAATAACAATAGTGCGGCGCTCAAATGATCTCGAGAAACATGTAAACATGGTGGGCCCCGATGTTTTGCATCATTATGATCGCAAGACCATAATTATTTATGGCACTGCCAACCACTTAAGTGTACCGTGTGTGTGTGTGTGTGTTTTTTTAGAGTACCATGGAGGAAGTGTCACGATTTTTGTTATTTTTTCATCAAAGTAGTTTTTTACTGATCTACAATTACTACCATTCAATAATAATAATATCATAATATCATATCATTTCTTTCTTTCAAAAGATGCGCCGATGCGCGGCAACAAACGATCTTGGTTTGGAGCACCGTCGAAAAAGGCTTTGCGGTCCTCCATCATTTTGGTTTCTAGCCGACAACCCTCCCCTTCAGTGTAGTACAAAAGCTACTTTACCAGCTGCAAATCAACAGGGCAAATAGCGGCCCGTTGACATGGTGGAGAACAATGCAACATTTAACTATTTTCTTTCGTTTAGTTAGATTATTTTCATTCTTTCCTCTGGACGTCAACAAATGTAGTTCATACCGTCGTTTTGTTTTCTTTAGGTCACTTTTCTGGGCAGATACACCGTCCGACCTTGAAAGGCCGACGATCTTCTTCTTTTTTTTTCTCCTTTTTTGTGTTTCGTTTACACGAAGAGAGGCCGCGGGATTTGCAACACGCCTCTGGAGGGGTCGGAGAGCACCCGACGGTCGGTCGTGTCGGCGGCGGTCGGGAAATAACCGGGTCAGGTCGAGGGAAGTCCCCGGCACGCACGCGCCCTTGATCGCATTTTCCACGTGCACTTCAACATGAAATGGGGTGTGGGAAACACGGCAGTTTATCTCAAAAAGTTCGATGCCACTTGTCGTCAAGTGACTATATGCAACCATTTTTAAACGTGCGGATTATTAGATTGGACAGCACCCAGCATTGTACTGTTCGTAGTCACTGATAGCGATAGAAACGCAGGGTGTAGCCTTCTATTGTTCACACATCTTGCTTCGCGATTGGCTCTTCGACTTTCTTATCAACTGAGGTCGCAACCTGATTGGCTAGGGAGCAATAACAAGCTGGTCGGGATTCGCCACACCCTGCGTTTTTCAGACTTCAGTGACTACGGTATTTAATGAGACAAATAGCCGATTAGATTTTTTATTATTGCATTGTCTAGATGCCCCAGATGCGCCAAGCTGTTGAAAAAGAGGTTTGAATGGACTGATAAACATTTCCTACTGTGGCTATGTGGCAATCGATTTCATAGCGTAGCGTGCGGGATGCACCCCATGCGGCATTTTGAACAGACTAGCACTAGTCTGGACCCACTCGTATCGCCGCGGACTGTACTCTTGCGATCCCATCGACGCTGTATATCTTATACGAAAATAGCGCGAACCCGCCCGAAAACGAAAACGCGCACCGGTAGCGTGAATCGCCGTTCAAACAGTGCATCGCAGGAGAGCGACTCTCACCGGCGGGCCTCCGGAAGGCGATGAACCCTGGCGGAAATGGGCCCTCCTCCCCTGGCCTCGAGTCCTTCGGACAGCAGACCTTGGCCACGTGACGATTCCAGCCGCAGATGAAAGGGCGGGAGCCGCTGCGCACTTGGGCGATGGCCGCCGGGCACAGCGTGATGTCCCGGCAGAGGAGGCCTTCCTGGCACACGGGCGCCTCCTCAGGGAACACGATGGGCAAGTACTTGCTCCGGGACGTTGGAGATGCCAACGCTGCGAGGGTCGGAGCATCGAGTTGGCAAGTCTAGTTCCGATGTACAGTGTGTTCCCGAAAACAAATTTAGAAGGTTTTTCTTTTTTCTTTTTTTTTTTGGTCACAAAAATAAATTACACATCGCCGAACGCTTATTTTCCGCCCAACCAGATGCCTTAGTTTCAGCCCGAACAAATATCGTATTCAAAAGTTAAGTGATTTTCTGAAAATTTGAACGGGAAAATGACAGCCGACGGAGCTCTCGAATACATGGAGCTCTATGGCGCCAGAAACTGAAAATGGGCAAAATGGGCCCTATTTTCCCATGGAAAAATTCATAAAATCACTTATTACTTTTGAGTGAGACATCCTTTTGGCTTCAAACTTTGGCCTCTGGTTCGGAACTCTAGCACTATCTTTGGGCGGAGAATAAGCGTTCAGAAATGTGTAGTATACTTTTGAAAAACAAAAAAATGGGGAAGGGGGGGGGGGGGGGGAGGGGCACTTTGTACATTGCTCACCAAACTTATACAGAACACGCAAACTATTTGTTTTCCCTCACAGGCGCGTTATCGTGACTATAGCCGAGCAAGTGTTTCTTGATGTAGCAAACAACGGACTATCAATAAATGCCACTTCAAGAAGCTGCTGTTCAGCTTCCTCTAGGATGCGAGTTTTCTCCTGGCGTTGCCATGAGAAAACTAACAGTTCGTGTGTTCCGTTTTGGGGAGCGCTCTACCTCTCTGGTAAACAAAGAAGGAAAAGGACATAACACCACTATCAACATGACCTAGAATAATCAAACACCGTGAACTGCCTCCTTTTCCTTTGTGTTACGTCATTTCACTAGGAAGGCTCCGATTCAGCAACTGGGTCCGAGTCCGAAGACGAGCCTCCTTCGACACACTGACTGGACACGAGAACCAGCAGAACGCTGACCTGTCCAATCTGTTTCTGGGGTGGACCTCACTGTAATGACGTCGAAATGCTAGTACACGGACTTTGATTATTTTAGGTAGTGTTGAAACTACAGACCTTTCCATCGCTTATCGCCCGGCCGAAAAATGCTGAGTCACTGAGCGGTGGACGTATGCACAGCGTCTGATATCCCGCACAGCAGAGCAACAGTGCATGCTCAGAAGGCGTTCCACAACCCAGCAGACAAAGATGGCAACGTGCAGAAGGCGATTTTTGCAGAGGTGTATACAAACCGGAGGTCAACGTCCTCTCATCTATTTAAACGTCTAGCGTTTTACCCTAGACATATCACCTCGTTCTTACGTGGAGGGAATAACTGGACATCTGATTAAGAGTATTTACCGCAGCTAAGCACGGGTACCCCAACACGAAATGTGCCACAGAGAAGTCAATTTTCTCCTAATGAACTTTCAGCCTTAACGTAGCTACCTCAATATTCATCTATGCACAACAGCCAAGCCTTCTTTTTATTCTTATAATCGACGGCAATGTCCGTAGTGCGGTACCACTTGATAGCTACATCCTCAAAATAAAGAAAATAAAACTTTGGCGTAAAAATTACTCACAATGATAACCACGAACTTTCCTATAAAATGTTTCACTAAACAGCTTGCTGCGAACATATACTAAATAATAATGTTTAAGTAGAAGAAAAGGACACGTCGCAAAAGAGTAATATCAGGATGGAGGGATGAGGTGTCAAAGCCGAAGAGGGATTCAACACATAAGATTAGATTTGCTGAAAAAAAAAAAATTATCTTTCAGATTAAGTGGCTCGAGAAGCAACGTGCATACTAATACGAAGACTAAAAATGGGCGTGATAATCACCACATGGATCATAAGAAAAAAAATTATAAACAAAGGTACTACGTCATTATACGATTGACTGTGGCACTCGAAGTTAGAAGTAGGTCCCGTTCTTTGTCCACGCTGTACCGACATCGATAACATCAAATATTCTTACTATTATTTTCCTAATACCCGCCTGAAGTGTGTGGGGATTTTTCTGAGATAAGCGTGCCAAACAGACATTCTACATCCGCAATACACATTTGAAGTAGGGTATTTAAGCACGGCGAGTCACGTTTCCTTCTCGAATCGTGGTCAAGGACAAGCTACGTTGCCGGATGTCGACAAGAAAACCGACATACAACACGAGCGTTGCAGAGCTAGCGAACTCTGGGAATCATAGTCAAATAATTAGAGTAAATTAAAACGTGAGAGAAGACGGCTACTCGAATAAATGGTAGGCTCAAAGAAGAATTACTTTAAAATCGAGATACTGGCTACTTGGTATATTATTTTTTAAACAATAGAGACTCTTAGTAGACCGTGTTCTAGGGCTACGCTTTGCTAGCGGGATCCCCGTTTTGCGGCGCATATTGTTTATAATTCTTGTATGATAATATAATAAAAGTAATAAATTTACAATAAAAACGAAAACATTACGACTTATGCTACTCTTTTTTTGTGAGTGAGAACGTGTAGAGTTGGAGGAGCCTTAGAAAGTTCTCTCACTGCGCGTGTTCTCGTGCGTAAAGCATTTTTCTCGCTGTATACAGTTTCAAGCGTGCAGATCGTAGTGGCGAAAAACTTTTAATGAACACCCTCGATACTGTTGCGCGTCGTTGATATACAAGGTGCTTTGCGCTAGCTTATCCTATTCTGGCATTCAGTAACATTGTTTGGGTGGATGTGTTGTTACTCTAAGAACTTTTATAAGTCATGTCGCTCTCTTAGAGTTCCGAAGACGAACAACCATGGCAAATAACAAAGCAGCCAGAAGACACATGTCAATGGGGGTTTACTCCGTACAATGGAGGTGTTACAGCTGCCTGGGGGTTCCACTGAAGCTCACGGACCACTATAAGGTGCCACAGCCCTACGCCATCCCAATGACTCCGCAAGATGGTAGAAGAAGTAGAACTAAATGGAATAGCAGAAATGTATCTCGTCTGTTGCATGTTCTTCCGATTATTATAAAGTACATCATCGAGCTTTTACTACCGCCCAGTCGTTGAACCCCGGCGCATGCTTGGAAAGAATTGACAATACATACAATGCCAAACAAAAAAAAAAAAAAAGTAGAAGTGGTAATGATGACTTTTGCCTTGTAACCGCTACAGGACCAAAATATTTCCGCGCAACGTTGTCAAGGCGAGCGTAGTTTCCATAGTGCTTCAGTCCCGCACTGCTGCGCGAGCACGTCTTGCGTCTCAAGCGCTATCAGGAGACGCCAAACGAAGCCACGAGATCGCGCAAGCCGCTCTGACAGCATCGGAGCATTGTGGAAAGCTGACGCAGAGTACAGACCACTCAAGCTGTCTAAAGATTATCGAACCGCATGCAAATATTGAAAACCAAGTTTACCCAGTCTGCCAACCGAGAAGCTGTAATTTCCCTTTCGTTTCGACAAGCACTGTCAGAGACCCGTCCCACGTAGCTGCAGACCCCCCCCCCCCCCCCCTTCCCCCCAAATTGCTTCCTGCGCTGATTTTAGCTTCAAGGCCGGTTCAAAGGGGGCGGGACGTCGGAGTGAAGGACGGGCACCTTAGCAGGCCGTTGTTGGGTTAGGTTCGAAGAACACTGTCGGATGGTGGGTCTGACCGGCACGCCACTGCCGGTGCTCTGACCTGGTCCCGACTGCCTTTCTCCGAAACCCACGTTGCTTAGTTCTCTTACACCTACGAAACTATGCCGAAGCTCTCGGTGCTGGAGCGGCGGCGCTTTTCTTCTTTGCCGAAAGCGAAGCAATTATTCTTCGGAGATCGCGTCGACGCACGGTGCCGTACCGGACGAGGGGAGCACGTGGGGAGCACGGCGATCGTAAAAATAAAGCGGGAGAGCGACAAGGTCATTATGGGCCATTGAATTGCACGCTCCTAGATGCAGAAGACAAAGGCGAGAGAATACCGTGCACCATCGTGGCAGTACGCGCGGAGAGAACGCTAGCATAAATACTCGAATGAGAAAGTGAGGAGATTATCCGTCACTGCCATGCGCGATGTCCACTCCAGGCAATCTGTCTAACCTAAAGTAACGCCTAACCGAGCGAGCTTAGTGCGCGCTGAAGGCGAGCTTCCAGATTTATTTTCCTACGTGCATTCCACATCGTCAAGATGGCCGGTTTTAGCAGCCTGTTAACGGCATGGAAGTTCTTTCAGTGGTTCCAGCTCCAGTGCAACCTTCCCGGCCTCGGTAAGACTTCGGCGTCTCGTGAGCCTCCAGCGTGCGCACGCAGCCGATGCACAGCAGAGGGTCACGAGCGCGTGCTGGAAGTCGGCCAAGAGACTCCCCGCCGTTCTAACCCTGTCAGTAGTTGAGCATCTTGTAGGGACAGTGCTCTCAGAAGCGTACCACAGAAAATATGAACCCGTGCGCTGTCTGTCGAAGGTTGGAGAAAACCGTCTTCAGAGATGACGGCATCGAAACAGGCAGCATCGATGAAAGAAATAGCTCTAGTACACGGAAGAGGTAGCTTGGGGTTACCTCCAAATGTTTCAACAGACGGTCCTATGGACGAATGAGAAGTTCGAATTGAATGTCCGGTGCTTTAATGAGGTCTGTTAAAAACTGTCGTTCGTGTACTTTTTGCACACCTTTTCTACTTTATTATTTGGAGAGCGATATGTGGTAAAATTAATTGTCGAAGTTCAGCGCGAAGGCAAAATAACGGTGTGAAGTAATGATTAGCCATCTACAATTTCTAAACGTGTAAAACTCCACACACACACACACAAACGCACAACAAATAATGCTTGTATTCACGACCCATGATATGAGACAAAGGTACGTTGAAATGACGAAGTACTCAAGTATAAACGATGTAGCATTGAAAAGAGAGAAAACAATAATGGCAGCGCTCATCAGCACATACTGTAGTTATGCACACGGCAATTATGTTCCACATGACTGACGTTCAGAGCCTTACTGCACGGGCCAAATTGCCTATCTACAACGAAGACACGCAGACCACCTTCCAGCTGTCTAAACGCCATACCACATATTCAACTTTTCGTTATTGCGTGTTTGCAGGGACATACGTGTTTACCAGGCGCAAAAAACTCTTAAGTGAACTAAAAATGCGAAAGGTCATATACCACCTTATACAGCCTTCGTGTGAGCAGCCACCAGTGCGATACTCAACTGTGCAAGACCCAACATCGAATGTCTTCAATAGAGAGCGTTTTCAAGGTTATCAAACGCCGGATCTTCGGTATGCATTGCAGGTCTGTGTTTTGACGTTTCCCTGTACCCTCCACCGTGCCATCATGCATCACGGGGCTTCGCAAACCACAGCATCCCAGTGCCTTCAAGAGTGGGTATTAGAGGCAGGGCGGAAACCATCCCCAGTCACTGGGACCTTACTTAAAGAAATAGCAGGAGTGGTTACGTCGGGAGGCCTTGAAGCGCGATCAAATGAAGGGTGGAAGCAGCCCCTCTCTTAGTGCGGGACCGCGGAATTCTTTCCGCAGATACCTCATAAGATCGAGCTGCCAAATAGGAATGAATTTCCTTGTCAAAGAAAAAGTATTTTTTTACAAGGCAAATATGGTCATAGATGCGACGTTTGATAACTGCATGTCGGTCCTTTTGAAAGATTCAGGTCGTAAACTGCGCCCCTTTAAACAAATAACAGATAATAACTAACAAAAAATTAAGTAAAAATTGTTGTAGTACCACTCTATAAATAAAACGCGCCCGAAAAGAAAAAAAAAGAAGTTTATAAATGCATTACAAGTAGTCGAGTAAAGGAGGCTTGTCTGCAGTGAATCGGTTTTAGACTTCAGGGACGATACAACGCTTCTAAGGAAAAGAAGATGAAGAGCCAGGTTTTCTTCTAGTTGCTTTTTAATGTATGAATAATACAAAACTCGATAGGACTGGAAACGGGGATGTGCTAGCTTCTTAGTTTTTTTTTTTTAGAAGTAAACCAGTAATAGTTTATTTCTCCATTAAACTAGCATTACAGGGATATAACTCACACCACGATGGTTGCTTTTTTACGATTCTCAAGCTACCAGTCGTCGTAAAGCCGTCTAGATTGTTAGGATAACGTCCAAACCAGAACTTTAAGATATAAAAAACAAACATCATTAGCCGCATTCATACAGATACTTCTGTCCAAAGTATATTGAAGAGCGTCGAACATCTGCAGTTTTACGGTCTCCACTTTCACCGTGCGCGGGACTTTAAATCCAGAAACTAAATGCAAGGAAAAAAAATCTTCCAAGTTCAAACGACCTGCATAGAATGAGAGGAAGAGAGAGAAAGAGGGAGAACGGA